ATACGGATCTAATATCCTGCTATCCATCATGACCATTTCTGGTCAGGTCATGTCTTTGAACATAGGCCAAATTCTTCAAATGACCTCCCTCGCCGGCACAGGGAGGGAGGGTTGATGCAACCCCCCCTCCAAGGTTTTTCGCGAATAACTCGCGTAAAAAGCGGCCGATCGCGACGAAACTTTCAGTACCCTCGCATTGATCAATCTTACACCTACTCTAAAACTTTCATGACCCTGACCCAAATGACCTTTGACCTGTGACCTCTTTTCCGAGACCATGTTTGGCCGGAATCGCGATTCGGCGTATATGTCGGCTCGCATTAGCCGCGCGTTTGCAAGCTTTTGGTGGTTTCAAGCGTTCAAACATGTGATTTGATGTTGCTCCGATGCATTAGGGTGGGTGTCAAGATCACCTGAGGGTCAGGTCAGGTCATTGACCTTTGGTGACCTCGGTTCACTTTTTCGAGTTTTACATGTTTCTACGCCAGTTTTTGGAGCTGAATTCGAATTTAGCAACCATTTGAACATTTACGAAGTAGTTCTGGTGCCTTCGTAACATGTTACGAAGCTGTCAGAGGCGGATGACAGGTATTACGAATACCCGTCGTGACCCCTACCGGTTGACCTGACCTGACCTGACCCGACCTGGTCTAAATGCTTTAAGACATCATCTCTGATTAAAACCAGCACGATATTCGTGATCAGCACCCCAGAAAACCCCATAGCAGCCACACTTTACGACTTTCTAACAGGTCCCCATTTTCCCGATTTTCGGGTCATTGACCTGACCTGGAAGGTCACCCGATGACCTAGGACCTTAAAATTGGGTATCATCGGCTTCCTCTCGTGACGGGCAGCACGCTCGTTTTTTTCCGCGAAGCTCTAGCTCAATCAGGGGCCAAGCGCGAGGGGGGGTCGTGCCAACCCCCCCCCCCCCTTTGTGCCGTCGAAGGATGCAAAATGGCCTGTGCCGGTGAGGCTTAAAGATCAACTTTTGATTCATTCGAAGCGTTTTGATAGGAGGAACACGAGGCTGGTAAAATTAATTTCATGCAGGTTTAGCTTAAAACTTTTAGTGTTTGTGGAAAAGCAATTGGTTTTCTCATAATACCGATGGTGGCAGTTGCTGTTATTTACGTGCTAAGCCGTTGACCTTAATTAAATCTGACAATATTATTCAGACATAGCGGTAAACGAGCTGCTTGTTGTGTTAGGTTAGGCTCTTTCGGTCGATTTCAGAGTGGGAAGGATGACAGGAATTAGGGGGAGACAGGGGGCCTGGGCGGGAGTCCTGAGCCTCATGCTCCGCTGGGGCCGAGCCCATCACGTGGGTTGGATTGCCCTGATACATGGATAGCCCTGGGCGGTGTTTCACGGCCCCGCGCTGCAGCACGCTGCGCTGCGCTGCCATGCATTGTAGCGGCGGTTGATATGAATTCGGCTCCACGCTAGCGTTACGAGCTTCCGAGTCTGTTGATGTTTCCATGGAAATTGGAAACCCAATGCACCGGTGCGCACAACGCATCCTGTCCAAGCAAAATTTTACCATCGATGACCTCTGGTGACATGACCTTTTGCTCTGAACCGATCTAAAATTGGCTGATGTATTTTTCTTCTTTTTGCTACTTTCGACGTTACTTCGAATACCACTTAAATGCCCAAAGCTGAGTTATAAGAATGATGCTCAATCCCCATTTCCCCTCCAACAGGGCGTGAGAGTCTAGGCATTCCTGTGGGGCACGGGCTAACAATGACTATCTCATAATCATTGTGGCCATGAACATCTACTGCCATTCTTTAAAGGGAGATTATGACCTTTTTCCACAAAATCTGAGTTAGGACCATTTTCTGACAAAGCACAACAAGTTATAATGTAAATTAAAACCATTTTGCTCAATTCGGTACCTTGCCGCAAATATCTCAACTTGAAGTCACGTTAGCGGGGAGCGCTGAAAATGACCGTTGAATAAGTACTTACATCACTTTTTGGTACTTGCATGTAATTTTGTAAAATGAGCGTATTCATTACATTTGATTTTCATCACATCTAGTTAGTTAATGGTCGTCTATAGTGCCTTCAAAAGATATTCATGGTTTGGGGGTGGTTTATGTCTAAATTTACGCAACTATTTTTCCTGTTCATCATCTGTCGCCATATGCTGCTATTTTAGTAGCAACGACTCAATTTTGAATCGGTCCCGCCGACTCCACAATAAAAGGAGATAGATACAACACTTTTGCGGCATCACTGAAAACTTATGCAGTACTGTTATCAAAATTCTCATAACACCGTTCGACAAACCTGAAGTCTTTTTGAAATAAATATGCTTGTATTTTTCGCTTCAGGCTCTGAGGCCAAAATAATGAATTTCGTAGTCGCAATCGCAAGATTTGGCTGCGTTTCTGGCGCTTGCCGTTCATTTGTGGCGCAAAATAATGTAAACAGTGTCAGTCATTTCTCGCATTTCTTGCTCTCGAATGCACTCCTTGCTTTGTATGGTTGATTATTTGATAAATATTTAAAGTTTTGTTGCAATGCCTGGTCAGAAATGCTGTGTAAGAAATTGCAATGGAACGAGAGATCTCAGCGCTATTCCCGGTGGCAAAATTGACGACACGCGAAGAAAAGTTTGGCTGACACATTGTAGAAAAAATTCTTCTTTGCTGAAGCAAGGGCGTGTTTGCCGCAAACATTTCAGCCCCACTCAGATGGTGGAAGCAAATGGCAAGCTATACTTGAAACATGACGCCGTACCGGACCAAAACCTTCCTGGGTAATTATGATTTATTCTCACTAGTTGCATCATCTATCATTATGAGACATTGCTATTGACACCAGGGTGCAATCTTACCAATGCCGTAAGTAGGATTTGGCAGGACTGGCCGGAGTTTACAGCACTAATATCAAAGGTAAACTTTTTTACATTCAGCTTATCTTGTCCAATGATTTTGATAGCATGAATGATTATGAATGTTGCGTGAACGAATAAATAAGTGAATGTGGAATAGTTCTGAATGTTACCAAATGCTGTGAATGCGCATTCACTGCATTTGGTAAGATTGGGCCCTGGTGTTATCAGTAAATGTGTAGATGAAGCCTGAGGAAGATAAAAACATGATCTAACCTGAGGGCTGTTCGGCTGCGCAGCAAAAATGAAATATGCTGCAGCACGCATGCGCAGTGAGGGCTACATCGCCCGTTAGTCCCGCCCACACCATTACGTCATCGGTCAGCTGAGCTGAGACGGAATACCTCACCTTTTTGCAAATATTTTCGTTTTTTTCGTTGAAAAGGCCAAGGTCTGAAAAACAAGTGGCCTAAAACTGGTGAGAAAACTAGATTTGGGGGTACCCTAGGTTGATCTCTATTATGGTTCATCCCCCCAGTCTGGAAGAAGTTCCCGCGCCACTGAACCAACCAACCTACAGCCGGCATATGTGTGGTCTGTAGGGTATTAATAGAGCAGACGTCACACAAAGGTTTTCCAACCAAGAAAAAACGGTAGTCGTCAAGCAGGCATCACACTTCTTTTTGCAACCAAGGAGAGGCGCTATACCCAGAGATGCTTTCTTATCAAACCTGACCAAGCCAACTCTAACCGAACCTAACCTAACCTTACCCACAACCTAAAGCCTAATACCTACCACCTACAAGCTAACATGGTAATGCAAGCGGCTTGGATTGGGTCGCTCAAGAACCACTTCTGGTACTGCTCTCAGCAGGCCAATGGAGACAAGGCCCACTTCATGGTTTGTTGCGCTCTTTGTCTCTGTGTATATATATATTTATCCTTATCTTCCTCCCTCTGTCCTATGATCCCCCTAAATCATTTCCCCTGTTTAATCTGTCACTTCTCTGGCTGTGGGTTCGATTCCCACATCTGATTTCATCTACCAATCGGAAATGGTTCAGCCACGAGAAGTGAACCATTCGTTAACGTAATGAACTTTCCATATGAGTTATAGGAACACATCCTGTCTTCCGTTGTATACAACATATTCCTGTTGGACCATGCATTCTCTTCATTGTTGGATCCCAAACTGCATTAGGAAAAAAAACATCCTAGCACCCCGCACCCGAGCTCTCAATCCAAGCCTCATCGGTTTGCTCACTCCTTTCTCTTTTTCGTTTTTAGAAACACTGGACGATGTGCCTCAATCACGTGTGCGGCGACCACGGAAAGCTTCACCCGAATGGTGGAGAAACTCTGCTCTCAGAGTGTAAACACGGGGAACTCTCTGAGGAGCAGCTGGAGGAGGACGCCAAGCGCCTCCTCACGAAGGATGGTGCTGCGCACTGCGCCCTGCGCAAGGTCGTATTCAGCGACAAGACAATGAAGCGCGTGGATGGCGTCCTGCGATTCCGGCACACCGGCTCCCTGGAGGGATACCACAGTACTACACTGGGGTACACGCCAAAACGAGTGTACTTCGAGTAAGTTAAACATCGCCCACACATGCTATTTTCCCATCCTAGAACGAAAATTGGGGGAGGGAGCTTGCAATTCACCCCGCCGTTTCGCCCAAAGCTATGCTTGAACTTCGCGGGATTCCCGGTGCCGATGCCATGAGTTTGTGTACTTATGTATATTTGTTAGTTTGCATTTATGTATGTGTGGTTGGGTAGGGGAGAGTGTAGGGGAAGTGGTGTTTTTTTACGGGATATGTGGAAAGAATAGACAAGCAGCTATACCAAGTTTCAGAACTCTATGGCTCAAAACGTAGCATGCAACGAAAAAAAAAAATCACCAGAGGGTGGCATTCCCCAATGTGCGGGTGATGATTAAGACGTCATCGGGGATTTGCGTGCGAGATAAATAACCAGCCATACCCTGCTTTCGTGATCAATTAGTTATTTGTATCATGAGCATGTAATTATTTTCCCACGTGAGACTCCGGTGCTGAGACGTGCGTTTCGAAGCCCGTGCGCCAACGTAGCTGGACAATAGTTCATTTAAAGATAACGTGACACGTGCATCGCAATTTCATTTCAGACCTCCGATGTTCGAGACCCGCAAGGCCATGTCTGTGATAGACCATGACGCCCACCACGACCGCGAGCAGCTGCTGGACGCCGAAGGACAACAGATGTAAGTAAAACTGGATGACTTCTGAGTTGAAAATTTAATCTATTTTAAATCATTCAATATCAGCCAGTAGGAAGCCACTATTATTAATTACCTAACTGTTCGCATAATTTAAGAAAAAGAAATCACTCAAGCTTGCATCGTGATGTGCTTTCGAAAGCTTCCTGTTCAGTTTCAAGAATGCATCACTGCTTACTTCAGGTACTCGACGAAGTACAGCCGCGCACAGAAGAAAACTGTGCTCGTCAAACGCAAAGGAAAGAAAACGTTCCCGTACGTCCGGCAAATGTTGGAGGACATGGTAGAGCGGCGTCGCTCCATCACGCTGTCGGCGTCGGAGCCACGCACGGCGAGGTACGTGAACCCCAGCTCCACGCCGACGGCTGAGGAGAAGGCGGTGCTGCTCGCCGAGCAAGCGGCGCACTCTCGCTTCTGAGCGCGGCTGCCGACGGCCGGGACGGATCCGGCGCCGCCGGGAGACGCCGGGTGGGGTCTTTTAGCCAGGGTCGTCGTTTTCATTTTCATCCATGTGTAAATGACTCTGATGCACATTTCGAGCGGCTCCTGGCTTATCCGCTTGTGTATCTCTTTGTGTGCAGGTGGTGTTCTTGACGCGCTTTTCGAGCGTATGCTGGCATATCCGCTTGTGTATCTCTGTGTGTGCAGGTGGTGTTCTTGACGCGCTTTTCGAGCGGGTGCTGGCATATCCGCTTGTGTATCTCTGTGTGTGCAGGTGGTGTGCTTGACGCGCTTTTCGAGCGGGTGCTGGCATATCCGCTGGTGTATATCTGTGTGTAGGTGGCGCTATTGATGCGCAACTCGAGCGGGTGCTGGCACCGCCGTTTATGTGTCTGTTTGCGAGTAGGTGGCGCTCTTGACGCCCAACCCGAGGGAGTGCTGGTGCGCGGACTTCCAGTTTCATCGGTGTGCGAGTGCCGCTAATCCAACTGTATTATTCTGGAGTAAGGGGTCGACGGGTCACGAGGGCGAGCTTTCACCGGGACGTGAGTTTCCGCGGTTTCATTGTTTGTCGTTGTCGGCCTATGGCCGCGAAAAAGTGAAAGTTGATTGAATTTGTGAAATATTATGAATGCGAAGGGTTTAACTCTAATAGAAAATCTGGAAATCCGTGAATGACCACTGTATCCCCTCCAGACTCAATCGTTCCACTGCGAACACGCGTCAAGAAATTAGAAAACTTGGCGTCAGTTTGTGCTATGCATTGCACTCTGTATTATATTAGCACAGAAACATACACGAGGTCAATCTTCACCTCAACTCTCCAACGTTTCACTTGCAGAGGAAAAAAAAACTATGAAGAGCTGTTGCTAAAAGCGGCCGTGTGACATCTGAGTTCCAAGACATTCTGCAGAAGCTGCCTTAATCGATATGCACTGAAGAATCACAATGAGCCTAATTAAATGTGATTAACTAACACATTTGACTAACTTTAACTTTACGTAACCTAACAGAACACGTTGCACACGCTAAACATACCGCTCGAACAAATGCACACACAAATGCACACGCTCGAAAACGTAAGGTTTGTGTTCAATAGTTAAAACGCTATTCGTTAGAATTGTGCTTTTCTATTAAAAAAAATGAGTTCCACGACGTTTTGCAGAAGCTGCCTTAATCGATACGCACGGAAGAATCACAATGCGCCTAATTAAATGTGATTAACTAACAAATTTGACTAACTTTAACTTTAACTTAAACACATATGGTAACTAACACCGGAAGCTTGACGTTCGCCGCCTCTTCTCCGCCGAGTTAAGACCAAGTAGCTCTCGGCCAGTCTGCCGCCGCGCCGGCCGGCGTGGTGCGTCTCTGTGAACACACAACGTGGCGACGTAAGACCAACGGATCACACGAACACTTATATGCAATATGCAATATGCATGCACGTCATCGAAGTTTTTAGCACTAACGGGAAGGATTATATGTTATTTACTCACATAGTGGCACGTCCTTGAAGCCCGTGTACCTCCCCGACGGGCTGGGGTACTTGGCCCTGATGGCCGTCACGGCGCAGGCCGGCAGGGCGCGCCGGTTCCCCCGACCGAGGGCTCCCCACCTGTGGAATACAATGAACAGGGATGTTAGCACGAAAAATATCATGCTCATATAACGTAAAAACAATAGTTTCCAGCTAACGTTCAATCAAAACCATTGTGCTGCCCATGCAGTGAATGAGGGTAACTTTATATTAGATATGTAGATATGATAACTTTATATAGCTCATGCAAATGAATCCTATTGTCAGCCACATCCGGGTTAGAACAGAAATAACAAGAAATGAGGACAACACATTTATCTATAACGCATGTTTAGATTGAAAAGTTTGCGCGCAGGAAGTGTTACGTACTGCCAGAGCACGAAGTGCCGGTACGCCTGGTACCGGCACTGGCGGTGGGGGCCCTCCAGGTCGGCAGGATCCGGCGCCGCCTCGCCCCATCGGTCGCGGTGGTACCGCACTCCCAGGGTCAGGTGGAATGTGTCCTGAGTTGCCTTCACGAACTCCTGTCGAATGTAAGTTGTATTTTGAGGTCACGGGTCGGGTCAAGGCCAGGTCAAACACCTGGAATTGGCCTTTCAGTAGCAAGAACTTCAGAACTTTGTACTGGGCGTCTCTCGTCATACATCCTGTGCACATCCTTGATATAAGTGCTACATGTGTGACGATCCATGTAGGGTTCAGTCAAGCACAGGCTAGGGTCAAGGTCAGGTCACACTTGTAAGAGCATCTCCCCGAAAAGCAAGTGGCATTCGCAGCATATGGCACATGTTTGATGGGTACTGTTAGGTGTTATAGAGCACGATATTGACGTTTAACTCCCCCCCCCAGCAACTCGCGGGTTAACAAACTATCGCGTTGTCCAGTACACAAAGTAGTCATACTTACAGGATCGTCTGTGATGCAGCGGGTCTCGCCGCAACACAGACGCTCCTGCTCGGTAGGCATCTCAGGACACCTAGCGAATAAACGGCAAGGGAAAGGGGTTTAGCACCTTATAATTGAGAACACTGTCAACACAAAGGGGCAGTGAAACACAGATCCTAAGCTGGACCCCTTTTGAGCACTGTCAGCTATGTCGGGGTCCCTTCCTAGTTCCTGTCCATGCGTCATTAATGGCTGGGACCCGGTTGCGTTACCACCTTCAGCGCTTACTCAGCAAATCTGATGTATTTGTTGCCTTTTGGTACTCATGATAGGAAATGTGACAAAATTACAGCTAGACTGAGACTACAAAATCCACTTTATACCATCATCATACTCATCAGGGAACAGAAATACCACAAATGGGAAAAGGCTTTGCTCACATTCCACAGCAGCACCACTCTGCCCGCGGCTGTGGTGCTGGCCCCGGGAGCGCGGTACCCGGCCGGCCCAGGTGTCGCCACCGGACCGCCGGCTCCTCCATCAAGATGGTACGGAGGAGGGTCAGCCGCTCCTCCTCCGACATCAGGAGCAGTTGTCGCTGCAAGAAAAGTTCCAGTGACATTCAGTTGTTGCTCTTCCTTATAAATGCATGTATTTATAAGGAAGTTTACATGTATAAAAAACAGGCAAGAGCTATACATGTCTTGCCTGTATTTCGGCAAGACAATAATTGCATGTTATTGATAACTAATATGATTCTATTCAAGCACCCATCTATTTCCTTCAGAGAGTTGGTCTCTGTGACAGTCAAAACAGTGTACAAATTGTGATGTATCGTATCTGCTAGACTGGCATAGACTGTTGTATGGCATTATACTATATGGTTATACTAGAACTCTCTATTATATATTTACTTATGAATGTACAATGTATTATGTATCTGAGTTACAACTGAGTTGCATATTTTTTGCTGGTATGAGAGAATTGCAAAGTGGTGCTAAACAAAGATGGCAGCCACTTCTAGTCACATTTCATGAAAAATGAGAGCCAAGTAAAAAAAAAACACACACACACACAACAAACCCGCAACAATCAAACGAACCTCAGTCAGGTCCCAGCGCATCACTTCCGCCTCCTGAAGTGCCTCCCTGAGCAGTCAGCCATGCAAACAAACATTTTCAGTGAGTTGTCAGGAACCCACACCAGTCTTTGAAGCAAACACCAAGCAGGACAGCCACAACCCATATATGTGACACAGGCCAAGACAATCACCAAGCTGCCAGCAATGCATAAAAATGCTATTCATCACCATCACCCCTGCACCATTAATTTCATGCAGGAATGTGTTAAATATTTTGCAAAATATCCAGAAAATGAATATTCAGACAAGTTAAATATTTTGCAAAACAGGAAGCATGCTGATGAAAAACAGACACCAAACAGCCATCATCCAAAGCTCAATGTTGATGTACATAGGTACACCGCACAAGTGCCTACTTACTCTTCAGAGGCGATGGTGAAGTTAAGTCGCCTCCCCGGCCTTACTGCAGCTGAGTAGGGCCGGGGCCGACCACGCCTCCTCCCTGCCCTCCCACGGCTGGGTGCTGACATCCTGAAAAAATAAGTTTGTTAAAAAGATATGCATTGTAATAACACATTTCACTACCATGGCCCTTTCAGTTTCAAGTCGCAGAACATACTAGGCACTAGAGAATTATACACTGGAGACACAATGGTGTTGGCCAGGCAATAACTATCCTTTAATTAGTTTCTCGCACACAGAAATGCAAAAAACCATCATTTGGGCCTTTGACACTGTGAAATTCCCTCTAATTCTAATGAAAAATAACTACGCCTGGTATTAACATTTATATCACCGTTTAAAATCAACATCACACCTGGTTTCAAGGCTGACAACTTCTAATTTGCATGGTATTTAGGGCTTGCTAACGGATGGGCATATATTACCTAACTAACTGGCGCCAATCCATGTCAAGGAACAACTTTAATTGCATTATTCACCAAACCAAAGGCATAGTTATATCCCAACTTAACCAACAATCGAGTCCCGAATAATCCTATTACCTACTTGGAAACATAGAAGAGTAGGCCCCCGAATTAGAATCGAATTAATTCTAAACCGAATTAACTCTAATTCAAATTAGAATCCTTACAAACAAAAACCCAAGCGTCGCTGTTTGAAACAAAAGCGCCATATACTGCGACTTTTTTTATAGAGAAGGACAACGCATTTCGGTGGGTGTTACAAGTACTGCAAGTACTGCTTCTTTTTTGCAAAAATAAAAACCTTTTTCACATACGAAAATGTGCTAGGAAATTTTCATATTTTATAGAAACTACAGTAGAAATAGTATAAATGTCGAGTAATTTTTATTTAAGAAACAAGAAAGCTCATTATCTCCCTTTAAAGGGAGATTATGACCTTTTTCCACAAAATCTGAGTTAGGACCATTTTCTGACAAAGCACAACAAGTTATAATGTAAATTAAAACCATTTTGCTCAATTCGGTACCTTGCCGCAAATATCTCAACTTGAAGTCACGTTAGCGGGGAGCGCTGAAAATGACCGTTGAATAAGTACTTACATCACTTTTTGGTACTTGCATGTAATTTTGTAAAATGAGCGTATTCATTACATTTGATTTTCATCACATCTAGTTAGTTAATGGTCGTCTATAGTGCCTTCAAAAGATATTCATGGTTTGGGGGTGGTTTATGTCTAAATTTACGCAACTATTTTTCCTGTTCATCATCTGTCGCCATATGCTGCTATTTTAGTAGCAACGACTCAATTTTGAATCGGTCCCGCCGACTCCACAATAAAAGGAGATAGATACAACACTTTTGCGGCATCACTGAAAACTTATGCAGTACTGTTATCAAAATTCTCATAACACCGTTCGACAAACCTGAAGTCTTTTTGAAATAAATATGCTTGTATTTTTCGCTTCAGGCTCTGAGGCCAAAATAATGAATTTCGTAGTCGCAATCGCAAGATTTGGCTGCGTTTCTGGCGCTTGCCGTTCATTTGTGGCGCAAAATAATGTAAACAGTGTCAGTCATTTCTCGCATTTCTTGCTCTCGAATGCACTCCTTGCTTTGTATGGTTGATTATTTGATAAATATTTAAAGTTTTGTTGCAATGCCTGGTCAGAAATGCTGTGTAAGAAATTGCAATGGAACGAGAGATCTCAGCGCTATTCCCGGTGGCAAAATTGACGACACGCGAAGAAAAGTTTGGCTGACACATTGTAGAAAAAATTCTTCTTTGCTGAAGCAAGGGCGTGTTTGCCGCAAACATTTCAGCCCCACTCAGATGGTGGAAGCAAATGGCAAGCTATACTTGAAACATGACGCCGTACCGGACCAAAACCTTCCTGGGTAATTATGATTTATTCTCACTAGTTGCATCATCTATCATTATGAGACATTGCTATTGACACCAGGGTGCAATCTTACCAATGCCGTAAGTAGGATTTGGCAGGACTGGCCGGAGTTTACAGCACTAATATCAAAGGTAAACTTTTTTACATTCAGCTTATCTTGTCCAATGATTTTGATAGCATGAATGATTATGAATGTTGCGTGAACGAATAAATAAGTGAATGTGGAATAGTTCTGAATGTTACCAAATGCTGTGAATGCGCATTCACTGCATTTGGTAAGATTGGGCCCTGGTGTTATCAGTAAATGTGTAGATGAAGCCTGAGGAAGATAAAAACATGATCTAACCTGAGGGCTGTTCGGCTGCGCAGCAAAAATGAAATATGCTGCAGCACGCATGCGCAGTGAGGGCTACATCGCCCGTTAGTCCCGCCCACACCATTACGTCATCGGTCAGCTGAGCTGAGACGGAATACCTCACCTTTTTGCAAATATTTTCGTTTTTTTCGTTGAAAAGGCCAAGGTCTGAAAAACAAGTGGCCTAAAACTGGTGAGAAAACTAGATTTGGGGGTACCCTAGGTTGATCTCTATTATGGTTCATCCCCCCAGTCTGGAAGAAGTTCCCGCGCCACTGAACCAACCAACCTACAGCCGGCATATGTGTGGTCTGTAGGGTATTAATAGAGCAGACGTCACACAAAGGTTTTCCAACCAAGAAAAAACGGTAGTCGTCAAGCAGGCATCACACTTCTTTTTGCAACCAAGGAGAGGCGCTATACCCAGAGATGCTTTCTTATCAAACCTGACCAAGCCAACTCTAACCGAACCTAACCTAACCTTACCCACAACCTAAAGCCTAATACCTACCACCTACAAGCTAACATGGTAATGCAAGCGGCTTGGATTGGGTCGCTCAAGAACCACTTCTGGTACTGCTCTCAGCAGGCCAATGGAGACAAGGCCCACTTCATGGTTTGTTGCGCTCTTTGTCTCTGTGTATATATATATTTATCCTTATCTTCCTCCCTCTGTCCTATGATCCCCCTAAATCATTTCCCCTGTTTAATCTGTCACTTCTCTGGCTGTGGGTTCGATTCCCACATCTGATTTCATCTACCAATCGGAAATGGTTCAGCCACGAGAAGTGAACCATTCGTTAACGTAATGAACTTTCCATATGAGTTATAGGAACACATCCTGTCTTCCGTTGTATACAACATATTCCTGTTGGACCATGCATTCTCTTCATTGTTGGATCCCAAACTGCATTAGGAAAAAAAACATCCTAGCACCCCGCACCCGAGCTCTCAATCCAAGCCTCATCGGTTTGCTCACTCCTTTCTCTTTTTCGTTTTTAGAAACACTGGACGATGTGCCTCAATCACGTGTGCGGCGACCACGGAAAGCTTCACCCGAATGGTGGAGAAACTCTGCTCTCAGAGTGTAAACACGGGGAACTCTCTGAGGAGCAGCTGGAGGAGGACGCCAAGCGCCTCCTCACGAAGGATGGTGCTGCGCACTGCGCCCTGCGCAAGGTCGTATTCAGCGACAAGACAATGAAGCGCGTGGATGGCGTCCTGCGATTCCGGCACACCGGCTCCCTGGAGGGATACCACAGTACTACACTGGGGTACACGCCAAAACGAGTGTACTTCGAGTAAGTTAAACATCGCCCACACATGCTATTTTCCCATCCTAGAACGAAAATTGGGGGAGGGAGCTTGCAATTCACCCCGCCGTTTCGCCCAAAGCTATGCTTGAACTTCGCGGGATTCCCGGTGCCGATGCCATGAGTTTGTGTACTTATGTATATTTGTTAGTTTGCATTTATGTATGTGTGGTTGGGTAGGGGAGAGTGTAGGGGAAGTGGTGTTTTTTTACGGGATATGTGGAAAGAATAGACAAGCAGCTATACCAAGTTTCAGAACTCTATGGCTCAAAACGTAGCATGCAACGAAAAAAAAAATCACCAGAGGGTGGCATTCCCCAATGTGCGGGTGATGATTAAGACGTCATCGGGGATTTGCGTGCGAGATAAATAACCAGCCATACCCTGCTTTCGTGATCAATTAGTTATTTGTATCATGAGCATGTAATTATTTTCCCACGTGAGACTCCGGTGCTGAGACGTGCGTTTCGAAGCCCGTGCGCCAACGTAGCTGGACAATAGTTCATTTAAAGATAACGTGACACGTGCATCGCAATTTCATTTCAGACCTCCGATGTTCGAGACCCGCAAGGCCATGTCTGTGATAGACCATGACGCCCACCACGACCGCGAGCAGCTGCTGGACGCCGAAGGACAACAGATGTAAGTAAAACTGGATGACTTCTGAGTTGAAAATTTAATCTATTTTAAATCATTCAATATCAGCCAGTAGGAAGCCACTATTATTAATTACCTAACTGTTCGCATAATTTAAGAAAAAGAAATCACTCAAGCTTGCATCGTGATGTGCTTTCGAAAGCTTCCTGTTCAGTTTCAAGAATGCATCACTGCTTACTTCAGGTACTCGACGAAGTACAGCCGCGCACAGAAGAAAACTGTGCTCGTCAAACGCAAAGGAAAGAAAACGTTCCCGTACGTCCGGCAAATGTTGGAGGACATGGTAGAGCGGCGTCGCTCCATCACGCTGTCGGCGTCGGAGCCACGCACGGCGAGGTACGTGAACCCCAGCTCCACGCCGACGGCTGAGGAGAAGGCGGTGCTGCTCGCCGAGCAAGCGGCGCACTCTCGCTTCTGAGCGCGGCTGCCGACGGCCGGGACGGATCCGGCGCCGCCGGGAGACGCCGGGTGGGGTCTTTTAGCCAGGGTCGTCGTTTTCATTTTCATCCATGTGTAAATGACTCTGATGCACATTTCGAGCGGCTCCTGGCTTATCCGCTTGTGTATCTCTTTGTGTGCAGGTGGTGTTCTTGACGCGCTTTTCGAGCGTATGCTGGCATATCCGCTTGTGTATCTCTGTGTGTGCAGGTGGTGTTCTTGACGCGCTTTTCGAGCGGGTGCTGGCATATCCGCTTGTGTATCTCTGTGTGTGCAGGTGGTGTGCTTGACGCGCTTTTCGAGCGGGTGCTGGCATATCCGCTGGTGTATATCTGTGTGTAGGTGGCGCTATTGATGCGCAACTCGAGCGGGTGCTGGCACCGCCGTTTATGTGTCTGTTTGCGAGTAGGTGGCGCTCTTGACGCCCAACCCGAGGGAGTGCTGGTGCGCGGACTTCCAGTTTCATCGGTGTGCGAGTGCCGCTAATCCAACTGTATTATTCTGGAGTAAGGGGTCGACGGGTCACGAGGGCGAGCTTTCACCGGGACGTGAGTTTCCGCGGTTTCATTGTTTGTCGTTGTCGGCCTATGGCCGCGAAAAAGTGAAAGTTGATTGAATTTGTGAAATATTATGAATGCGAAGGGTTTAACTCTAATAGAAAATCTGGAAATCCGTGAATGACCACTGTATCCCCTCCAGACTCAATCGTTCCACTGCGAACACGCGTCAAGAAATTAGAAAACTTGGCGTCAGTTTGTGCTATGCATTGCACTCTGTATTATATTAGCACAGAAACATACACGAGGTCAATCTTCACCTCAACTCTCCAACGTTTCACTTGCAGAGGAAAAAAAAACTATGAAGAGCTGTTGCTAAAAGCGGCCGTGTGACATCTGAGTTCCAAGACATTCTGCAGAAGCTGCCTTAATCGATATGCACTGAAGAATCACAATGAGCCTAATTAAATGTGATTAACTAACACATTTGACTAACTTTAACTTTACGTAACCTAACAGAACACGTTGCACACGCTAAACATACCGCTCGAACAAATGCACACACAAATGCACACGCTCGAAAACGTAAGGTTTGTGTTCAATAGTTAAAACGCTATTCGTTAGAATTGTGCTTTTCTATTAAAAAAAATGAGTTCCACGACGTTTTGCAGAAGCTGCCTTAATCGATACGCACGGAAGAATCACAATGCGCCTAATTAAATGTGATTAACTAACAAATTTGACTAACTTTAACTTTAACTTAAACACATATGGTAACTAACACCGGAAGCTTGACGTTCGCCGCCTCTTCTCCGCCGAGTTAAGACCAAGTAGCTCTCGGCCAGTCTGCCGCCGCGCCGGCCGGCGTGGTGCGTCTCTGTGAACACACAACGTGGCGACGTAAGACCAACGGATCACACGAACACTTATATGCAATATGCAATATGCATGCACGTCATCGAAGTTTTTAGCACTAACGGGAAGGATTATATGTTATTTACTCACATAGTGGCACGTCCTTGAAGCCCGTGTACCTCCCCGACGGGCTGGGGTACTTGGCCCTGATGGCCGTCACGGCGCAGGCCGGCAGGGCGCGCCGGTTCCCCCGACCGAGGGCTCCCCACCTGTGGAATACAATGAACAGGGATGTTAGCACGAAAAATATCATGCTCATATAACGTAAAAACAATAGTTTCCAGCTAACGTTCAATCAAAACCATTGTGCTGCCCATGCAGTGAATGAGGGTAACTTTATATTAGATATGTAGATATGATAACTTTATATAGCTCATGCAAATGAATCCTATTGTCAGCCACATCCGGGTTAGAACAGAAATAACAAGAAATGAGGACAACACATTTATCTATAACGCATGTTTAGATTGAAAAGTTTGCGCGCAGGAAGTGTTACGTACTGCCAGAGCACGAAGTGCCGGTACGCCTGGTACCGGCACTGGCGGTGGGGGCCCTCCAGGTCGGCAGGATCCGGCGCCGCCTCGCCCCATCGGTCGCGGTGGTACCGCACTCCCAGGGTCAGGTGGAATGTGTCCTGAGTTGCCTTCACGAACTCCTGTCGAATGTAAGTTGTATTTTGAGGTCACGGGTCGGGTCAAGGCCAGGTCAAACACCTGGAATTGGCCTTTCAGTAGCAAGAACTTCAGAACTTTGTACTGGGCGTCTCTCGTCATACATCCTGTGCACATCCTTGATATAAGTGCTACATGTGTGACGATCCATGTAGGGTTCAGTCAAGCACAGGCTAGGGTCAAGGTCAGGTCACACTTGTAAGAGCATCTCCCCGAAAAGCAAGTGGCATTCGCAGCATATGGCACATGTTTGATGGGTACTGTTAGGTGTTATAGAGCACGATATTGACGTTTAACTCCCCCCCCCAGCAACTCGCGGGTTAACAAACTATCGCGTTGTCCAGTACACAAAGTAGTCATACTTACAGGATCGTCTGTGATGCAGCGGGTCTCGCCGCAACACAGACGCTCCTGCTCGGTAGGCATCTCAGGACACCTAGCGAATAAACGGCAAGGGAAAGGGGTTTAGCACCTTATAATTGAGAACACTGTCAACACAAAGGGGCAGTGAAACACAGATCCTAAGCTGGACCCCTTTTGAGCACTGTCAGCTATGTCGGGGTCCCTTCCTAGTTCCTGTCCATGCGTCATTAATGGCTGGGACCCGGTTGCGTTACCACCTTCAGCGCTTACTCAGCAAATCTGATGTATTTGTTGCCTTTTGGTACTCATGATAGGAAATGTGACAAAATTACAGCTAGACTGAGACTACAAAATCCACTTTATACCATCATCATACTCATCAGGGAACAGAAATACCACAAATGGGAAAAGGCTTTGCTCACATTCCACAGCAGCACCACTCTGCCCGCGGCTGTGGTGCTGGCCCCGGGAGCGCGGTACCCGGCCGGCCCAGGTGTCGCCACCGGACCGCCGGCTCCTCCATCAAGATGGTACGGAGGAGGGTCAGCCGCTCCTCCTCCGACATCAGGAGCAGTTGTCGCTGCAAGAAAAGTTCCAGTGACATTCAGTTGTTGCTCTTCCTTATAAATGCATGTATTTATAAGGAAGTTTACATGTATAAAAAACAGGCAAGAGCTATACATGTCTTGCCTGTATTTCGGCAAGACAATAATTGCATGTTATTGATAACTAATATGATTCTATTCAAGCACCCATCTATTTCCTTCAGAGAGTTGGTCTCTGTGACAGTCAAAACAGTGTACAAATTGTGATGTATCGTATCTGCTAGACTGGCATAGACTGTTGTATGGCATTATACTATATGGTTATACTAGAACTCTCTATTATATATTTACTTATGAATGTACAATGTATTATGTATCTGAGTTACAACTGAGTTGCATATTTTTTGCTGGTATGAGAGAATTGCAAAGTGGTGCTAAACAAAGATGGCAGCCACTTCTAGTCACATTTCATGAAAAATGAGAGCCAAGTAAAAAAAAAACACACACACACACAACAAACCCGCAACAATCAAACGAACCTCAGTCAGGTCCCAGCGCATCACTTCCGCCTCCTGAAGTGCCTCCCTGAGCAGTCAGCCATGCAAACAAACATTTTCAGTGAGTTGTCAGGAACCCACACCAGTCTTTGAAGCAAACACCAAGCAGGACAGCCACAACCCATATATGTGACACAGGCCAAGACAATCACCAAGCTGCCAGCAATGCATAAAAATGCTATTCATCACCATCACCCCTGCACCATTAATTTCATGCAGGAATGTGTTAAATATTTTGCAAAATATCCAGAAAATGAATATTCAGACAAGTTAAATATTTTGCAAAACAGGAAGCATGCTGATGAAAAACAGACACCAAACAGCCATCATCCAAAGCTCAATGTTGATGTACATAGGTACACCGCACAAGTGCCTACTTACTCTTCAGAGGCGATGGTGAAGTTAAGTCGCCTCCCCGGCCTTACTGCAGCTGAGTAGGGCCGGGGCCGACCACGCCTCCTCCCTGCCCTCCCACGGCTGGGTGCTGACATCCTGAAAAAATAAGTTTGTTAAAAAGATATGCATTGTAATAACACATTTCACTACCATGGCCCTTTCAGTTTCAAGTCGCAGAACATACTAGGCACTAGAGAATTATACACTGGAGACACAATGGTGTTGGCCAGGCAATAACTATCCTTTAATTAGTTTCTCGCACACAGAAATGCAAAAAAACCATCATTTGGGCCTTTGACACTGTGAAATTCCCTCTAATTCTAATGAAAAATAACTACGCCTGGTATTAACATTTATATCACCGTTTAAAATCAACATCACACCTGGTTTCAAGGCTGACAACTTCTAATTTGCATGGTATTTAGGGCTTGCTAACGGATGGGCATATATTACCTAACTAACTGGCGCCAATCCATGTCAAGGAACAACTTTAATTGCATTATTCACCAAACCAAAGGCATAGTTATATCCCAACTTAACCAACAATCGAGTCCCGAATAATCCTATTACCTACTTGGAAACATAGAAGAGTAGGCCCCCGAATTAGAATCGAATTAATTCTAAACCGAATTAACTCTAATTCAAATTAGAATCCTTACAAACAAAAACCCAAGCGTCGCTGTTTGAAACAAAAGCGCCATATACTGCGACTTTTTTTATAGAGAAGGACAACGCATTTCGGTGGGTGTTACAAGTACTGCAAGTACTGCTTCTTTTTTGCAAAAATAAAAACCTTTTTCACATACGAAAATGTGCTAGGAAATTTTCATATTTTATAGAAACTACAGTAGAAATAGTATAAATGTCGAGTAATTTTTATTTAAGAAACAAGAAAGCTCATTATCTCCCTTTAACACCGGTTTCGCTGCGCTGAGCGGTGGCCGTCTCGTTTGTTGGATTCTACAGCTGGCTGGCGGAAAGCGTTACCGGCCGCCCGTCCACCGCCTGCGGGCCGGACCGAGCGGTCCCGCTGACCCTACCTGACCTGATACCAGCGCGATACGGGACAGGCATACGGGGGTTCGGCTCAGCGAAGGCAGCGCCCACTGGTGCTGGGGACTTTTTTAATAGACCTACTGTACGTGCCCACGTGCAGGGTGACGCTTCCAGATCTCGAGAACGGCCGGGCCGATTGTGCTCAGATTTGGCACACCGCTAGAGACCGCGCAGTAGGGTGCCTTGCACAGGTCAGCTGGCGTATTTGGAAATTCCGACCTCGACGAGCATCTGTGGTAGAAAACCACCACTTTGGTAGGGGAAACTACTGCTGCCTGCTACCTACCATTTGCACTGCAAGTGTCGCTATAGCTGCGACATCTACGCACCTACATATATGTAAACCGCGACATCTGTGTGCGCTGATTCTAGTTAGCGATTAGCTAGGGCACCAGGGGGGATCCAGACTTTCAGTTTGAGGGTGGGGGGACTCGGGGGACTCATGGCCGGCCCGATCCCCGGCAGTCAAAGTTGCTGATCGCGGGGGGGGGGGGGATGAAGGTCCAATATGATGCCACAAAAGAGTAAAGACATGCCTATTGCCTATAGGTATATTTTATGCGTATGTATTGGTATCAGCACTCAGCAGTGTGCCTCCTGAGATGTTAGTGATTTTTATCGATTCATCAAGGTGACGATTTGTTTTTTCGCGGATATCTTAGAAACGGCAGCGCTCTGCGTCGGTGTTTTTTTTTTTTTACTTATTTAATAACTTTTAGCTTTAACTTTACCAATACCAATACGTACCAATACATACGTATATACCTATAGGCAATAGGCGTGGCATCATATTGGACCTTTCTCTCTCCCCCCCCCCCCCGCTCAGCAACCGGACTGCAGCGGATCGGGCCGGCCATGAGTTCCCCCACCCTTAACCAGGGATGCGGAGCCGTGGAAATTTCAGACGGCTCCGACTCCGGCTCCGGCTCCGGGTGAAATGCCATGGCGGCTCCGGCTCCGGCGCAAAATGGTCCGGCTCCGGCGGCCCCGGCTCCAATACTCAGTAGGTACATATTAAATACGCCACGGATGGCATAAAAAAGAAGATGGGATTGGTGCACGTTGCTTCTGCATTTGCATAACAAGGCTATTCTCATATTTTGAATACCGCATGTTTTACTGCTTGGAACTGCAAGTTCAAGGCAGCTTTGTTTGACAAACCGAACTAAGTCATTAATTTTTTCCTCTTCATAAATAAGGAGCCGAAGTCGCCCCCTTTTTTGACAGCTCCGGCTCCGGCTCCGGCTCCGGGCTATATTGTTTCACGGCTTCGGCTCCGGCTCCGGGCAAAATATGCCGGCTCCGGCAGCGGCTCCATGGCTCCGGCTCCGGCTCCGCACCCCGGCCCTGCCTCAAACTGAAAGTCTGGATCCAGCCTGGTGCCCTAGCTAATCGCTAGCTAGAATCAGCGCACACAGATGTCGTGATTTATACGTAAATGCATAGATGTCGCAGCTGTAGCGACACATGCAGTGCAAATGGTAGCAGACAGCAGTAGTGGTGTTTGTCCCTACCAAAGTGGTGGTTTTCTACCACAGATGCTCGTCGACGTCGGATTTTCCAAATACGCGGTCAGCTGGGCCCCAGGTTGCACGTGCGCACGTGCAGGGTGACGCTTCCAGATCTCAGGAACGGCTGGGCCGATTGCATTCAAATTCGGCACACCTTTAGAGACCGTTTAGTAGGGTGCTGTGCACAAGTTAGTTAGTACAGGGTGTCCAGAAAAAAAACGGATACTATTATTTTTTGCTGTAATTTCGAAAATAAACACCTTGCATTTTAAAATGGCACATGCTTGTATTCGCCAAAATATGGCAAAACAGACAGCAGGTGCCACATGGCATGTAAACTCTTTGGTTAGTTGCGGCAGCTCCTCAAAGCAGATACTCAATGTGAGCGGCCATACGGCGGATTAGCTCCAGCACTAGCACAGTCTGCAGGTGACTGATGGTCATGTTGACCATCTCGGAGGGCAAGCAGACAACTTTCCAACGACGCATTACAGTGCTCATGAGTTTTGCCAAATCTTGCACTATAAGCACATGAACTTAGAACAAAATCGGCACGTGCGTTAATAAATGCGACTTAATTTTAACCGCAGGTTGTTTGAAAAGACAAACACTATTCGTTAGAATTGTGTTTTTCTATTGAAAAACAACCGGAGCGGTCCTTCTCCGGGCTATGTTTTGCATGGTTGGCAGCGAATCAGTACAACTTGACCGGGGCCTAGACGAATCGCTCAATCTTCGTAAAAATTTCAGGGTATGGGCTCCAGCAGGCGATCTACCTGATGGCACCGGTCGCTACTCGCTTAAAACCTCGTGGCACGTGGCACGTGCGTTTCAATTTTCGCCCATGTTAAGTCAACGGGGTTTTGGACACTTTTTGCGCGATCGCGAATAGCGGAAAAAATCGCCGATCAAGGTATGGTTTGCTGCACACCATTTTATGACCGACACGTTAAGGTACACGCCCGTGGGCGCCGTATACCCGTCAAAATTCGTTAACTTAAGTTGCACGAGTTTGAAGTTGAACTTTTTTTGCTCCCCATGCTAAGTCAATGGACGTTTTTGCAGAGACATTTTCATTCGTTCATTGCACAAAATTATATGATACGATTTTGTTTAAACTTTCAGGACCTGTTGAGAAACGACCATAGAACATGTTGTTATGCTTCGTTATGAAATATAATGGCCCGTTTTGGGGTAATCGGCACGTGCATTTTCCCATAGGGTTAACATGGGAAAAAATTAAATGCGATTTGCGAAAAATTTCGTCAATTATATTTGCTGATATTTTTAGGGTCGGATCTCGGGCTGGCACCCCAACTGACGGTGGTAATTACTTAAAATATAATTGACAAATTTTCGGGGAATCGTCACAAACAGTTACCCCATGTTGAGCCTATGGCGATTTCGGAAAATTATTTTCAAATCGATTTTGTCAAAAATTTCCACGTTAGATTTTGAAAACGTTCCAATATGTTGTGCCCCAGAATGTCGGCTACCACATGGTATGGGCCAGATATGGGGCGATTGAAAAGCACGTGCCACGTGCAAACTTGTTTGATGGGGGAACCTCGTGGAAAATCCGACATTGGCCTACTCGGGGTCCTATGGCGTGGAAACCACTCCACCTAGCGACACCAAATCAGTGCAGCCGATGAGCAGATGAGTCCAGCTTGTCGCACAAGTGGTAACGTGGCGCACGTGCTATTGCACGTGCCGTGGCACGGGGTCAATTTTTGTGCTTTAATACACCATTATTGTGAAATGCAAGGAATGGGGGAAATAGCCGTCAGGCCGTCAGTTTTTATGATAAAAATTTTTATGATCTGAAAACGGGTATAGGCACAAATTGACCAGGGCTAAAAAACTGCTATCTCGGATTTTTTATATTTTGAAAATTTCAAAATTCTCGGGACATTATATTTCCGAAACGTAAAATTTCCCTAAATTTTCCCATTTTTCAAGTTAAACTGCCCACCGTTCATCAACGGAGTCACCGGCCGGGATCATCTATTATATGCTAATGGCCACGTCCATGGGTCATAACATGACATAAACGGCGAAGCTGCCCGAGGCCCAGCACGTGCCACGTGGCCATGTGTTTGATTCGAGTACCTCCCAGATTATCGTGTGTTTGCCGATTTGTGGCGTTATAGCACGAAAACAGCACCAGTCAGGAAGCCTGAAATGGTGCAACCGGCGAGGGGACAAGTCCTGCTTACACCACCAGTGGTCACGTGGCACACGTGCGAAGATGGGCACCTTCGTGGCGGAGATACGTCATAGCGAAATATTAAATATGCGTAACTTTGTCAAATGTGGTCCGATTGGACTAGATTTTGGTGGATGGATGCATTATTAATTAACAAGGACAACTGCACCGCGTTTGCCACAATGCGCCACATTTGTCACAATGCGCCATTTTCGCCGCAAGTCGATAAGTGTCCATAACTTTGTCGGACATGGTCCGATTAGGATGCGATTTGGCGTTATGATGCATGCTCTAACGACAATAACAATGCACCGCGTTTGCCGCAATGCACCACCTTTGTCCAATGCGCCATTTATGCCGCAAAACGCAATATGTCCACAACTTTGCCAAATATGGTCCGATTAGGATATTATTTGGCGGAGGGATGCATGCTAAAACGAGAAGCAAAGAGGCGCCTCGTTTGCCGAGATGTGCTACGTTTGTCGCAACTCGCAAAGCGCCATTTTCGCAAGGCTGGTCTATAGCGCTTTGGCACACCGCTATAGACCGGCGAATAGGGTGCCGTGCACGTCAGTCCGTAGCACACCGACTCCGGTCCGCACGTGCAAGGCTCATCCTCTCGTTTGGCGGCGGGCGTTTTTGCTGCGTTTACAAAGGTGCTTGCTCAAACAACCTGCGGTCCCGCGATGCGGAGCCCAGCATCGCAGATGCTGGTAACCGCAGGTTGTTTGAAAAGACAAACACTATTCGTTAGAATTGTGTTTTTCTATTGAAAAACAACCGGAGCGGTCGTTCTCCGGGGTATGTTTAGCAAAGTTGGCCTGAGATTGGGGCAACTTGATTGGGGCCTAGACGAATCGTTCAATCTTCGTAAAAATTTCAGAGTATGGGCTTCCGGAGGTGATCTAC